CAACCCACTAGCGATGGCCTCCAACCTACTAGCGATGGCCTCCAACCTACTAGCGATGGCCTCCAAGATACTATTTCTTCAAGCATTTTAGTGTTTTTGTAAGCAAAGCTTCACAGCCACAGAAGCGCCTCAAACTGCCAGTAAGGATCCATTGGCTTCTTCGGTGGAACATCGGACTCAGTGGCTGTAGCTTCGAAGATTCATATTCGCAGCTTGCTCAGACAAAACATCAAAAGCTTCACAAATTCGTTCCATTCTTGCTTGACTTTATAGTGTATATTTCTAGGCACAAAAGTACCACAAAGTGAGCAACACGCCCTTTCTTTGCACTCGGTTCTACAGAAGTAACACTGATGCTCTCTGGAGCTAGCTCGCCTCTGTGAATTCTCTTCCACCGACCTCTCCAAATTATCCCATGGATCAGTGCTTCCACAATTGTGTGAAGCAGCATGCCAATTCAGAGCTTCAAAGGTTTGTCACGATGTTGGACTTTGGACAAACCCCACCGCGGCTGGATCAAAGAGGCGCGTGGCAGTGTTCCCGTGAGCCTGCGGTTCAAACACAAGGCAAGATTCTTGCTCCTAGTAGCGATGCCCTTTGTTACTAGTAGTAAGGCCAGGAGCTACTAGTAGCGTCCTTGCTCCTAGTAGCATGAAAAGGACAAGGCGTGCCTCCGAGCTCTTAGGACTGATACACGCTCCAGCGTTCTTGAAGAAATGCTCTTCACTACTGGCACATGTGGAGCTTCCCCACGACCATGGAGTCCGATTGCCTGGACACGCAAGTGCGGTGTAGTGTTAGACATTTGCCCAGGATCAAGGACGCTAGTAGAAACAAGTGCATCGCTACTAGTAACAAGTGCCTTACTAGTAGTAACAAGGAAGCTACTAGACACAAGTGCATCGCTACTGGGAGCAAGGACGCTACTAGGGGCTCCTGGCCTTACTACTAGGAGCAAAGGGCATCGCTACTAGGAACAAAGTGCCACACAGTGCCACACACTGGGGCTGTAGCCAAACATGCTCTCTTCGGGAAGTTGCGCAATGGTTAAGCCTGCAGGATGTCAGGTGGGTCCATGATGCCTTTTGGCAAGTGAATCAACTTTTGAAATGGAGCAACCAAAAGTCACATAACCACCTGAACTCCCATCCCATGGACTGCTGCCTTTGAGGACATCATCCTGTTCACGGTAGTAGTCGCAATCATATTGCAATGCCCGCGCCTCAGCATGTCAAGCACTTGAAGGCTCTGAAACACGTAGACAAGGTTCACCACTTGCAGCTGTGATTAACTCTAGGAGCTGCTCAATACTTGTCAAGGGGGCACCTTTCTTCCGGTACTGTTTTCTTTTTGTAGTAGCGATGGCCTCCAACCTAATAGCCATGGCCTCCAACCTAGAAGCGATGCTCTCAAAATTTCAGTTGAGGCTCAATGATATTCGTCGTGCTTGAGACAGTGTCTTTACTGTTTGTGAGGCCATCTATGCGCCCAACTGGTTCGGGGGCAAACGAAACTCCTGGAATTCAATGCCACTGAACTGTGCTTTTTGTGAAGCCGAAGCAGTTACAAACAGCTTTGTCAGAGTCCTAGAAAAATCATCGATTTGTTTGATAACAGTAGAACACCTCAACGCAAGTGCAAACCCTGGACGTTCAACCCCCTCCTCTCGTGTTGTCCTCTTTCTCTCTGTAAAAGTCTCCATACATGCGTTGCCTGGAAAAGCAAAAGACCCATCAGAGTGAACGAATTGCCGAAGAGTCGGAACAAGTGTAAACTCAGAACCATCTCAGTTTTCTGCTGCGGCCATTCTTCATCTGAGAATCTGAGCGAAATAGTGCAATACGCTTGCACTTCAGACACCATGCTTTCGCTTTTTTGCTTCTGAGGGCTTCAGATTCTGAGATTTCTGTGGGATTCCGTACCCTGGAACGTCATCATATTGAGACCTCCGTCAGCGATCGGCCAATGATCATGGAAAGGAAGTAAGGTCCGGGAGCAGTGGGGCCCCTGAAAGTCAAGTTTAGAGAATCCTGCGTAAACGAGAAACACCCCGGATTGCGGATACCTAGCATGCATGTTCATTGTTGGAAGAGAAATGCAAGGCTCTTGAGACACGAATTGATCTCTTGCGCACAGGTCATGCAACTTGCAGACTTTCAGAACTGCGCATCTTCATTGTCACTTGATGTCACTCGTGGAAAATGCACAGCAGACTCAAATGTAATATCTTTCTTGTCGAGGGCTTCGTTGCGCTCGGTGTTGTCTGTGGTTTTCTTGGTACTTTGTTTGTGTAATTAGCTCATCAAAAGCATGAATTCCGTCTGTGTTGAAGTCTCGGACCTTGTACTGTTTGGCCTCAGAGATTTCAAAGCGTGCAAAATGACGAGAAAATCCGGAATGGCAAGGCCAAAATTCAACCTGGAGACAAATGTAAACTCTGCATGTTGGCTGATCAAGCCTCTTTACCTCACCTGAAGCATTAAAGCTCTTTGAGGCTTTGACACAAAGTCCATGACCCACCCCGCAGTCAACGCACTCAATTGCAGGCAGCCATGGTTCTTCCCTTTGGCTCATTGATTATGCTTGAGCCCAAGAGTCAAGGAGGCGGAAAATTGCTCATAGTCATTCCGCGCTCTCCACAGACATCGTGCCGAACACCCAATACATTCACCGTGAGACTCAACCCAACACCTTGGACAGCTTCGGCTTTTCCTCTCTTTCGCTGCCCTTCATCGTTGGTCTGTGAGACTGAGTGCCAGCCATTGCGCTGAAAGCGTCTCAGAGGGTAGCCAACAGCCACACTGACACTCGCGCACAGGTGTTTTGATGGCCAACCATGGGCCTGTATGCCTGTCCTCATTGTTTGTCTGGAAACACTTTAGGATATTCTCAGCTGCTGTCTGACTGCCCGTGTGGGCTTGCCACTCCGCAAGCTTGCGTTGAATCTGTGGGAATCCACGATACACGCGAAAGCTGCGACTGAACCAATTTCCTGGACTCAGCATCCACATGGTGTGTGTGTGTGTGTATGTGTCAAGACTGAACAAGAAGAAGTTCCTCTTGAATTCTTGTCGTATAAGATGACTACGGGGCTATGGCATACGTGATGTTCCACGGTCAAGTCCGAAAGAAAGCCACAAAGAAAAGGATGAACGAGTCAAGTGGGAATTGCGTATCATTGCCTTGTGTAAACTGAGCCTTCTGGAGTCACAGACTGTCACAGACGGTCACAGACTCGACTACCGCTGCGCCTCACTTCCGTCTGGCTGTCTATGCCTGATTTGAGCGCGACCCGTCGACCGGTCCAAAGAAAGCGAGTCCCTGTAGCAAGAAGCTACTAGGAACAAGGCACCTTACTACTAGTAACAAGAAGCTACTAGTAGCTCCTGGCATTACTACTAGTAGCAAGAAACTACTAGTAACAAGGGCATCGCTACTAGTAGCTAGAAGCTACTAGGAAGCACTTTGATGCACGCCCACGGTTGGTCAGTTGAAAAGAAGATCGTCAGCTTCATAGAATTGGGGAGCATAAAATCCCAAAGTCCGATGACTACGTGGATCGGTCAGATTGCATTGCATCTTGAAAGGACGATAAAGGTAACTGGAAGATATGTTCTCCAAGATGGCGAGGAGGACAGCGTGAAAATCTGAGCATTCTGCACTAAGCAAACAATGCTGAGTGCTAGGCCGTTTCACTTTGCCTTCAGCTTCCTGTTTGAGAAGGATGAAAGCCCATGCAGGACACTGTGCAACGCGGAACAATCTGCTGATCTGCTCGAGACCTTTAGCAACAATAGGAAAGTGTTAAATAGGTCACACCTTCCTATCCACAGTCTGTGTGCTTCACATCTAGGGATCAAGGAAGCTTCTCCCAAGCCAGTGAGTAGCTTGAATAACGAAAGTAAACCTTGGTTTTTACCTTGTTTGAAGAAATTGAAAAACTACGAAGAACCAAAGCATTCCGCCCTGGGGCAATGAATTTCTCTGGCTAGCCGGACTACCTGGTGTCTGCGTCCAAACGACCAGCAGCACATTTGATAAACAAAAACAGGATTCTACCAAACGACAATCAGCTTCCGGCTTACGCCAAGGATCTGCCATACAAGGTCCAGGAAACTGTCATCATCAGCAAGCTGATGGAGTGCTGAGCGAACTGATTCCCGGCTGATCACGATACTGTCCTTATGTGGCGCCGTTCTAGTGCTAAAAAATATTGCAACGCCTCCACACACAAGCTACTCAAGTTGTTCAAATTATGGTGAATAATGATTAGTCCAGTAAGAACAACTCTAGCTCTCTCCTCAACTGTTCTTACGGTGACGTTAAAGAGAATATCAATCTGATCGGGAAGAGCTTTGCCAAACGGTGACTGAAGGCGTTTATGCCTTCTGCAGTCTTGTCCACCAACTCATGCCACACGCTGACATTGGTTTTCAGTTAGCTCAGTTCCCAGGTGAAAGGAAGGTGAAGGAACGGCAAGGCGAAAGGTCCAAAGATTTGAAGATGCTTGAACAAATGGTTTTCGCACATCTGCAGTTCACAAGAACAGCGGTGTCGAGCGATCAGCGCGGCTGCACATCTGCGGTGGGAAAAGGTTTTGGGGTCTATCATGAGAACAACCATGAAAACAACGAACAGCGGCAGGGTGAACCATTGGAGTCAGTGCGTTGAAAGCAGGTACGTTCTTAAGGCGTCCCTCGAGAATATCCTGACGAATGGCTGGAGCTTCGTTGGATCAGGCCAAGCCAAACGTCCCTGATCCCGATGCTGAAAGTGAGGTGGAACCCTTAGGCACAGGGGTGACACACACACACACGGTGCCGCTTTGCGGCGCTCGTGCGAAGGACCTGAATAGGTACCTAAAGCCCTAGAAACAAAAGAAAGAACACAGAAAGAGCAGCGCTAAGAGGGCAAGAGAGAAAGGTAGGAGTAGAAAAAAAAGTGAATACTTAGCCCTTGGCTGGGGTAGGGAAACAAGCCTCAAGAGCAATCCAAAAGCCCTAGAAACGACCGAAAGCGCAAGAAGGAAAGTGGGGGGGCAGGGAGGTGTATGTACATGTGTGTGTGTCCGTGTGTGTGTGTATGAATACTTAGCACTCTAGAATTACTGATTACTTAGCGGAAGTGAATTAAATGCAATAGTTAGGGAGCGGGACTTTAGTCTTAGACCGCCCGGGTAGAGAAGACTAGAAAAGGGACAACAGAGGGAAAGGCACCGACACACAAGTGTGCCGAGTACCATTTCCCTCTGTTACCCTAATTAGTGGGTGGGAGGGGTTGGGGTGTTTGGGGTAGAAACCACGTGAGGGTTCATTCTCCGTACAAGCCCGGCGGCTGTTGAGTTCAAATTGTTTTTTCCCGTAGAAGCCCGGCGGCTATTGAAGCAGTTAATCCAGTGGTGAAAAGGAGTCAGTTAAGAAAATCCCAGGAATGGAGGTTCCGAAAAGTCTGTTACACGATTTCCAGCATGACTTCAGCGCCCCAGTGACGGGGATCACACCCAGCACGCAAGTGGGACGGCTGAGCGGTTCACACTCTGACATTGGTTTTCAGTTAGCTCAGTTCCCAGGTGAAAGGAAGGTGAAGGAACGGCAAGGCGAAAGGTCCAAAGATTTGAAGATGTTTGAACAAATGGTTTTCGCACATCTGCAGTTCACAAGAACAGCGGTGTCGAGCGATCAGCGCGGCTGCACATCTGCGGTGGGAAAAGGTTTTGGGGTCTATCATGAGAACAACCATGAAAACAACGAACAGCGGCAGGGTGAACCATTGGAGTCAGTGCGTTGAAAGCAGGTACGTTCTTAAGGCGTCCCTCGAGAATATCCTGACGAATGGCTGGAGCTTCGTTGGATCAGGCCAAGCCAAACGTCCCTGATCCCCCTGCTGAAAGTGAGGTGGAACGCTTAGGCACAGGGGGTGGCACACACACACACTCTGACATTGGTTTTCAGTGACTCAGTTACCACGTTGGGAAAAAGGTGAGGGAACGGCAAGGCGCATGAGTCGGCTCAAACAGTATTGTTTAAAAAATGTTTCCACAGGTGCAAGTCTGCGGTCGGTGGCTGGCTGCAACTCACGATCGGCTGAGGAATGCAGTGGAAAACCTGTTTGTGGGGAAGGTAGCATGGGAACAACCATGAAAACAAAGAAACAGCGGCGAGGGGAACCAGTGGAGCCAGTATGTTCAGCGCAGGTACGTCCAGAAGGGTTCCCTTCCGGATATCACCGCGGTTCAAGGAGTGTCTTCGTTGAGTGGTGACTCCAAGACCGCGCACCACTCCCCTGCCGAAGTTGGTTGAGAACCCTTTTTCCAGGGGTGGACACACACAAATCGCCGGCTTCGGCGCTTTTGCAAAGAACGGTGGCACAGACACGGTGCCGCTTGGCGGCGCGTGCGTGGAAAGCCTGAATAGATACCTAAAAAGCCTTAGAAACAAAAGGAAAGAAACACAGAAAGAGCAGCGCTAAGAGGGCAAGAGAGAAAGATAGGCGTAGAAAAAATGAAAAATGAATACTTAGCCCTTGACTGGGGTAGGGAAACGAGCCTCAAGAACAACCTAAAAAGCCTGAGAGAAAGCCCAACAAACGACAAAAAACGCAAGAAGGAAAGCGGGGGGCAGGGAGGGGGTGTATGTCCATGTGTGTGTACGTGTGTGTGTTTGACTACCTAGCACTCTAGAATTACTGAATACTTAGACGAAGTGAATTAGGTGCACTAGTTAGGGAGCGGGACTTTAGTCTTAGACCGCCCGGGTAGGAAAGACTAGAACAGGAACAACACAGGGAAAGGCACCGACACACAAGTGTGTCGAGTACCATTTCCCTATGTTGCCCTAAATAGGTAGGGAGTAGAACACAGCGGGGGGGGGTTTGGGGAACCTGCCTCATGGGGGGTGAGCACCGTTTTATAGCCCGGCGGCTGTCGAAGCAATGCCGTTTTTGGGCCCGGCGGCCAATGCATCAGTTGATTCTATGGGGGTGGCCGTGACTTCCGGTGAAGGTCCAGTGAAAAGTGGTACGTTGGGGTGGTTGAATTCCGATGCAAAAAACAGCGCCCCTGTGACGGGGATCACACTCAGCACCCGAGTGGGACGGCTGAGCGAAACACACTCTGACATTGGTTTTCAGTGACTCAGTTACCACGTTTGGAAAAAGGTGAGGGAACGGCAAGGCGCATGAGTCGGCTCAAACAGTATTGTTTAAAAAATGTTTCCACAGGTGCAAGTCTGCGGTCGGTGGCTGGCTGCAACTCACGATCGGCTGAGGAATGCAGTGGAAAACCTGTTTGTGGGGAAGGTAGCATGGGAACAACCATGAAAACAAAGAAACAGCGGCGAGGGGAACCAGTGGAGTCGGTATGTTCAGCGCAGGTACGTCCAGAAGGCGTCCCTTCCGGATATCACCGCGGTTCAAGGAGTGTCTTCGTTGAGTGGTGACTCCAAGACCGCGCACCACTCCCCTGCCGAAGTTGGTTGAGAACCCTTTTTCCAGGGGTGGACACACACACACACACGGAATCTAAAGCAGCAGAATCTAAGAAATGTGTATGTCAACTGACTTATTTGTTACTCTCACCAAATGCAAATGAAGAACAGCGTCATCCGCTGCACGAGCCAACCTCAGTGCAACGCCCCTTGTAGGCCTTCACTTGGTGCAAGATTGATAAAAGGTTTAACAACTGAAGTTCAGGTGGCTTGCAGTTCGAGGAAACACTGTCAAAATCATTGACACATCCAAATCCGATTGGAGACCGTATTGCGTAACCAAGTTCAGCTGTCACTTTGACGAGATGCGCATCCCCATTGGCAGAAGGGGGATCTCCACGAACCAGACCTGGAGCCTTGCAGTGATGGAGTCTAGCGACATGCACCGCGAAATACGTCCAAATCCATCGTGTCCCCAAAAGCGTTCCACTAAGATGTGCTCTGTTCAAGAGCTGAGTTTTGTGTGAACTGTGAAAAGAAAATATATAACGAAGAGTCCCAAGTCCCAAGGTCTGTAAAAGGAAGGAAGGAAGGAAGGAAACAAAAAAGCAAGGAAGCAAGGAAGAAAGGTCGACAGCAAAAAGAATGAAAAGAAAAGAAAACGTGTTTCTTGTGTCCAAAGCAATTCTTACAGTAGTTTTGATAAGGGGTAGTTCAATCTGAGACCACGTCTCTATAGCAAAGACATACATTGCTCGTTCTTCTTAAGAGACTCCTTGTCAAATGTGTGAAAGTTTGGGCTCACGTTGCGAAACAAGGCCTCCATGTCTAGTCTCCGCTGTCCAACGCTGCCAAGGCACAGCCTTTGAGTCACTGCCCTTGTTTCGAAGCTCTTCCTGAGCAGATTGACGGCTCGACATGTCCAGCGTAAGCGCTAGGACTAGAGGTCAAGGGTGCAGATCTTTGTTGCCACACAAATATCCATGCAGTCCATGCAGCATAGCAAACTGTTGATTTGAACTCCTGCTGCACATCCTAGCCTAGCTATGAGCAATTCGTGACCCAAGCCACAACAAGCAGTGCCAACATCTGCACATGCGGCAACTCCAAAATACTCTTCAAGAGCAAACGGTGCAGTAGATGCTAAACGCGAAAAGGTAAAGTTTTTGAGCACAAAGAGGGCTGACTGAGGATAGTGTTGAAGACAGCAAACTGGTCCTGCCAATCAGATAAAATCATGAGGCCGAGCGTTTGACCACCTCCCATAAGGCTTGGGAATGCTTGGGATCTATTGGTTGCAATAATGATCTACGGCACTTTCAGCAGGTCTGTCTGCTTGTGCAACAAGAGAGTTGGAAAGGGGAGAGTCTCAAAAATCACTGTCCAAAGAACAGGGTGTGAAACAGCACACAGGTCCCACCAGTACTTCCCTAGAAGAGAGCTGAAACAACTGGGTGCCCAAATTCTGCAAACTGAGGAATCACCTGGAAGTTGGAGCTCCACCACAATTTTGTGCATCAAGCATCCATGGTTTGCTCAAGCATGGTCTCAACCTTCACACGCTCCGCATCATTGTGGAACCACAGGCCTCGAATCTGCTTGTTCCTTAATGTGCAGCCCAGCTCAGCGTTTGCAGCTTGTCTAGCCTTGTATAGTATAATGGACATGTGCCAGTAAGTCAACCTGAGGCACATGCGGATCTTCAATCTTGTAGAAGATGTAGTTCTTTTGGCCTTCACTTGCCAGTGTCCAAAGTGAAAGTGACTTAAATCTCAGATCCGGACAGTCCAGCTCCCACTCAGGGTGCCTTAGAGTTACAAGACCCCACAGCAGGCTTACATTGGATTTCATTTATTTATTTATTTTGCATTCCAGCTGTGTTCTGGATGCATTCCCTATCTGCATGCCTAGGTGTGGTATAAATGAGGACAAATATCAACTTGCACATCCATGTGTGTACCTTTTCAGGCATATAAATCCATATGAATCCTGTAACTATAGTAACTATAGCGTTCTATAGGCTGCCTGGACATATCAATGTGTGGAGAGAAGGCTTCTGCAAAAGGCAGGGTGAGTATGGCAGCCGCGAGCTCCATGACCTTCTTCTTCCAGAATGTTCCACTGACTATTGCAAAGAACTGGAGAGATGGAAGGTGGGGATAGCCAATTGGAGTCATTGGAGTGCTCGGCGTTGGGTCATGGCGCATGATATGTTTTTTACTAGCCCAACTATAGTCACTAATCACTAAACCAATTTCCCAACACAAACTCCCAATATCTCAAGGAACATGTTGGGATCACACTGTGGCTGCACAAGAGCAAATGGAATACAATGATAGAATAAGGCATATATTCAGAATACACTTGGAACAGTCTGGGAATACACTCTGGAATGCACTCGGGGATACACTCTGGAATACACTCTGGAATACACTCTGGAATACACTTTTCCTTAGGACCTGATATGTCCGCAGATGTCTGAGGTTAGGAGCTACCAGGCATAACCAAGTCAGGAGTACAGTCAGACTACACTTGGGAACACCACCGGAACAACCTGTTGCCCCCAGGAACACACTTTTTAAACCAGCCTGTGTGTGTGGTGGAACACACATGGGTCTCAGGACGGGTGGTGTTGGGGCCGGGGTAGGGTTTCTCATTCTATCAGGACGGTCTTGGCTGGGAACCTCATACATCTTAGTATGAAGCCGGACAAGCGTTGGGGAGAGGGGAGATCACCTGGGACCTTCGTGTCCATGTGAGACTCATCATTGCCGCTGCTAGTGGTACTCTTGCTATGACTTTCACTCTTGCAAGCTTCAGCTTCCAAAGTCTGATCTGAATCCTCTTGAGAGGACAACAAGAAGTCTTTAGCTACCAATTCCCATCCATCGTGTTCTGAACACGGGGAATTTGGCGCATCCACCGCCATGGTTTTCCCACGTGGCTCAGACTTCTTGAGCCAGACCCATCTCAGCAGACAGGAGATGACACACACATTGAAACACATGGGACATATTGGGATGGGTTTGGAGCACAGAACTGGTATAGTGGTAAGACACACTTGGTCTACAAAAAAATCACTTTACCCGCTCTCAAGGTATGCCTAGTCTGAATCTTGTAAGCTTAGAGTTTTCACGACTGACTCGGCAGCATTCCCAGCATCGAAATCTCAACGCAAAAACAAGGCCGGCAGGTCACAGATCATCGATCAAGTCAGTGGTGCTGAATTGGTTCTTCACAATGATCCGATACCTCACAGGATCTGCCATCAATCGATCCTTCTTTGATGAGTGCAGATCAATTGCACTGAAATCACACCAATTGCATTCAAAGCGGCAGTGGAGCAGTACTCCGCTTTACAACGTATACTGGCCCTTCAATGTTGGCCTTTCGCCAACCAGGGCTGGCGCCATCGTGCTGTAAGAGGTACGCAACCTAACGAAGAAACCAGGGGAGAAATCGACCTAGCTCGAAAGAAAAGGATGCAAAAGCAAAAAGGTATTGGGACTATTGAGCCTGCATAGAGCTTTGGTCATCTAAGCTCGGGGCCACAAACTTCGAATAAGTTACAATCTGTGTAATCGCTGGGTCCTAGCGTCAAAAGGAAATGCTTGAAATTAACAAAAAAGGAAATGCTCCAAATATGGTTCATAATGCTTTGAGAACGACTTCAGAAGGCATTGAATATGCTCTTGGAAAAACTGTTGGTGCACTAAGAAGGAAACAAAATGAAACAAACAACCATAAATCATTCTTCAACAAACAATGTGGTGAAGCAACTTCACAACTTCGGCCCCCCTCTGTGCCTGCTGCTGAAGTGGTTCAAGCCTGACAGAACTTCATTGGTCAAGAACCGGTCTTCTGCTCATCTACCCCTACGCCCTGCTAAGCTGTACTGGCAAAGGTCACCTAAATCAAGAACACCTTACAAACCCCCAAGCCCTCCGACTTCTTTGAACAAGTCTACGGATTGAGCTTGCGACATTCCGCGCATGCGTTGTTGATCCATATCCCTGTTCGCCATGGAAAACCGGACGCCTTTCTGTGAACGCTCCCCGGTCTTCGAGCCAGCATGCACAAGTTAAAAGCATAGCTCCCGTCGCAACGAATCTTGTGCGACATGCCGACATGCCTTTCCAATCCTAGGTGGACTAATTGTAGGAGATTCGAGACATACAATGTTTTGGACGTATTCTTGTGACGAGCCCTCTTGTATCTAAGGAAATGTAAGAACACACGAAGGACAAACTGTTCTTCTTCTGGTTTTATTTGTTCTTTCTAATTATGAAAAGAACAAACCAAGACAATGTATAAAGGAGTAATTAGGAAAAATATTCTTTGAAAGACTACTCTGTATTCAGCTTGTTGCTAGACGCTGAGATGTACGGCCCTAAGGCCGAATAAAGCCTTCTTGGAGGAGCGGGTAAGGCATTTCTCAGACCCAAAAAGATACTGTTTTAAATCTGTGCTCAAAGGAATAAGTGGTTAAATGTAAAAACATAAATCACAACAATACATAAATAAGTAAGGCAAAAAATAGAAGCAATAAAAAGCTGTTCCAGACCTAAGACCTTTCTCTTGTTCTGAGAACTCCAAAGTCACCAAACAACATGGGGAAAAGGCATCGTACATGATTCAAGTCCCGACAAATACCCTTTCGATAAATTTTGTTGATCAACTCAATTCGCACATGTCTTGTTGTCAAGAACTGCAGAAAGACTCCAGCTGCATCTCGTTGCATCTTTGTATCTTCGCTGCGATCTATCTGGTTGTGCTCACAGCACGGCTGCCCCTAGCTATTTGAAAGCACAACTTTGTTGAAGTTCATTGAAGAGCACCCATCCCAGCTTCAATGACTCGGATACACTTGTATCCGTCCCCCGAGGCTCATGTCCTGATCAGCACATGTCTCCCAAACTGGACGGCAGCTGGGATTCAAGAGAAGTGTCATTTCGTTTCTGTATAGTTACAGAGGCAATTGAGGACATGGACACATGTTGACGCTTCTCGTGCAACATACCAAGATGTCTTGCAAGCTTTTTCCGAAGGCAGTGCTAGGTTGCAGGTGCTTGGTCTCATCTGCCGAAAGCACTTTGTGCAAAAACAATGAATCCAAAGACACAAAGACTTTGCTGCGAAACTTCTCAGGCTGCACTAGATGACATTCAGCTCTCCTGGATGTTTCCGTGGGGGTCAATCCTGAAGCCCGGGGCGAAAGGAGCTTCAACGAAGCCAGCCTTCGTTGCTCAAAGTAAACAGTATTATTGGTGTTTGTGATTCAAATGCCTTGGGCCGTAGTCGTATGATATACCAGACTTGAGACCACAGAAGCGTAATTACAAGAAGTGCAAGACCTATGACCTAAGACCCATTTAAGCATTACATTTACAGCATTTTCTCGTCGTTGCCACAGTTGCGGCAAGAGTCGTCACCCGCTGCTGCTTGTGCGCCAGCATACAGTCGATATTTCGAACTTGTGCCCAGTATTTTGCATACCTTGGAGCAGTATGGAAGGCAGAGCCACTGGCCTAGCTACTAGCCACATACCATCTTACCATATCTTACCACTTTCTCCGGTCTTCACGGCTTGCACCCCGAAAAGAACAGAAGACAATTGGCTTCACTTTACACTCTGGGGTCTGGGCTTCTCTTTGACTTTTCTCTCAGCTTCCCAGAAGTCGGGTGTGATTTTTGCCGTCTGCCAATCGAGGTGGCGGACTGGCGTTGCATCAAGCAAAGTGCAAGCCTGGAAGCGAATGTGACGACCATCAAGTCCGGAATTTCTGCCATAGGTTTCTGGTATGTCCATTCCACATGAGGGCGGAACCGAAACTGAGAACTTCTCCGATGCCATTTCGCACCATACCCTTGGAAGCAAAGCCGAATGCGTTCCGACCCAATCATACTCGCTAAGCCAGCGGCCGGTCAAGGCCCCACTCGGCGTGCTCATGAATGCAGTCCTCAAGTCCAAGTACGAGGAGCTTTCTTGCCGTTACAAAGGCACCTAAAGAAAAGAAATGGGAGCGTGACAAGATTAATTTGAAACCTTGCCAAGACTCAACACAGTCCTTCCTGAGTTTGCAGGTTTGACAGCTTGGAGCTTAAGGTCTGTACAGCTTAATACATTCAAATTTGAAACACAAACTCACAGAAGTTACCTTGTGCGAGCGGACTTTGTTTTGGAGACACTGAGGTTTCTACGTCAAAACACAAAGAAAGAGTGGTTCCCTGATTGCTCGAAGTCATTTCCTATGGCAGAACGCTCCCGAAAGGCAAAACATATGAGGCTGATTTGTGCAAAGTCTTCTTCTGGCCAGCACGTCTGGTGAAGCAAATACAGTAGCACTCTCACGGGAGGTTAATCCAAATGGAAAGATCCACCAAGCTTCAAGATCAAGGACAAGACTGTCGAAGAAAGCCTGAGTATCAATGTTTTGTAGACTACATGGTAGGTCTCAACGCAAAGAGTGCAGCATTTTTTGACTCCAAGAAGCAAAGGTGCTGTCATCTCTACGAAGTCGGTGTGCCGCATCATGCAACCTGAATCAATGTTGAAGTTGCACAAACCTGCAGACCCTACTTGATCTTTTCGGATCAGTACTCTTGTAGGATAGTTCAAGCAGATTCAAATGATTCCAAACAGATTGTGCAGCATGGGCTTCCTCAAGGCACAACAAGGTTTAGTCCAGCAAGCCAGCAAACTTAGCTTGCCAGGTCGTATCTCAACCACCTGTACAATGTCAAGCTCGGTCTTTGTCCGCAAATGGATTTGATCTTTTTGTCCAAAAAAAGCGTGGATGTAGCCAAGGGACGTGGATCTGGTTTTCCTCAAATTCATAAGCAAACTAAATTATTGCGCAAATATATAGACCTTTCTTCCTCTTCTTTTTCTCTGTTTCTAATGGCAATGGCCTCCAACCTACTAACGATGGCCTCCAACCCAATAGCAATAGCCTCCAACCTAATAGCGCGATGACCTCCAACCTACTAACGATGGCCTCCAACCTAATAGCAATGGCCTCC